AGTTATGGTAGCAATTGTGATAGCATGGTCTAATTCAAACGTACGACAAGCTTGTGTTGGAGCTGTCATCTGTGGCATATGTATATTATTCCTTATTGGTAGTGTTTCAGTCACCAGATCATTGATACTAACAGAAGCTGCGTGGCTTTCAGTATTTTCGTTCTTTTCACTGATATCAACGGTTATCTCTTTGTCAGTAACACAGAAGCCATCGGTTAATTATACGTACGGCTTTGCTCGAGCACCTGTTCTTGCTGTCTTTGCTACAACCGTTAGTATTTATTTTTTTTATTTAATCGATTTAAACCTTTTCAAAATAATATTTTTGTTATATTAGAAAAGACCATCAATATAATTGCTTGAATTTCAATCCGAATTCCATCAACTATTTTTTAATATGCATAAAATTTATTTTAATGAAAGTATTATAATGCAATGGTTAGAAAAAGAACTTGATAAATGGTAATTGTGAATAATTATTGGTGTGTCAGTAAATATGGAGCATATCAATTCTTTTAATTTCAAAGTTCGAAGCTGTTAATTTTTTTTCCTTTTAAAATGACATCATTTTCAGGTACTTGCAACTTTAGCAGCAATATTTTTGATTAAAAAAAGTATGGAGCATATTTTGGAGGATGATCATCATCTTCATCCAAATGGTTTATATATTTTTGGCGCTATTGCAGCATCTGTTTCACTAGAAATTGCTGCTTACGGTGTCAAAAATCAACCAATACAACATGTACTTACTGCATCCAGCAGTTCTTCGTTGCAAGTAAGCTTCTGACATTTCTGCATTTCGATCAAAAAAATAGAATTTTTCAATTTTTTAAAATCAGAAATTCAAATTTCGGACATTACGGTTTTTCTGCTTTTTTTTCGGTGGCTGAAGTAATCTCTTGGATAATTGAAAATCTTCGACTTTCTCACAGAAGGGAAAGGAAAAGGAGTAGAGGGAGAAGATGCAGAAGAGAAAGGAAAAGGAGTAGAGGGAGAAGATGCAGAAGAGAAAGGAAAAGGAGTAGAGGCAGAAGATGAAAGTAGATTAATGATCTTCCCGGTGAAAGGTGAAGATTTGGAAGGAAAAGTTTAAAATTACTGTTTAATTTAAAAAAAACAAACATCATATTATTTTCAGGAACATTTTGCTGATATTTCCCATGCAATCTGTTACATTCTGCCCGGTCTTAGCGTACTTTTATTGCCTAGACTGAATGCATTATCACTTTTAGCTCTTTTAACAACTGTAGCATGTGTAATTACTCATTGGTAAGAAATTTCATACCATATTTCACATTTTACAAATTGTTTTGATAGTTAAAAGTAAGCTTAGAGTGAATGATTTCCACATCTTTTCTTCCAATCTCATCCACAATTGATTTTCTTAGTTTCGATCGAACTTTCGGTTTATAACCAAACATAGAATTAAGCATTTGGATCTACTATAAGCTGCATAATTATTTTTTTCTGGAGGTTTGTGTCGAATTTTTGGTGGATTGATGCGGTTGCTACATTAATACTTTCAATTTGCATCTTTCTCACAATGTGGCCACTGTCAAAATATACCGGTCGAATTTTATTACAAACTACTCCACCCCATATTCATAATCAATTAGACAGGTAAGTAAATAAGGAAGTAACAGTGCGATTAATGTGATTTCCAGAATTTTAAATCTGTACATCTCGGCGTTTACGCTAAATTATTTCACACTGAGTGATTAATTTATCGGTACTATAACTAAAAATCAAGTTCTTGTTCTACTAAAAATTTTCATCGTATATATGTAAATTATTTGAAGAAGTCAGGAAACTTATGCATATTCTTATCCTTAGGAATACACTAAATATAATGTCATGACAATTTGAGTTCAGAAATAAATTTCTTGGTTTTTAGAACATTTTTTTTTTGTTAAAATTTTGCCGAAATGAAGATCATGCTTTTCTGGCTTTTAAATTTATCTCTCTTTCCTGATTGTATTCTATGCATATAATTTTCCCATCCCTTGATTTAGATGCATATCAGAAGCGTCGACAATAGATGGAGTTCTAGAATTGCGGCTGGCTCACTTTTGGCAGTTGGACTTTACAACAATGGCTGGTACAGTAGATGTTCGAGTACGTCGAGATGCTGACGAACAGTATGTGCTAGCGTTGGTTACAGAAAAGCTTTCTGCTGTAATCTCCATATTAACAGTGCAGGTACTTAAAAAACGTAATTTTTATTATTTTGCTAGTTGTGACTCAATTCAAATTTACATGAGATGAATTTTAAGTAAGTAGTGATGGAAAAATGGAAAAAATAAAAATTCCCATCAAATTCTTTAGAAAGTGCAGACAATATATTTTGATGAGAATCTTGTAACTCAGAGATTCTATTAAATAACTATGTGAATTTAAAAATAGATGGAATCTTCTAAAAAAAAGAATATATGTGGTAGCAGTTAGGAGAAAAATCTTTCAGGTTGTTAAGGATGTAGTAACAAATTGGCAAGGGACATGTAAAACGCAATCAGTACCATACGACCTGCTTCGAGCTCCACAATTTCATTCTTCTCGTTCATTAAATCAATTCGAAGAATCATCTTCCCATTCTCATTCTCATTCCCATGAACATGAACATGGCAATCCCGATGAAGGTCATGGCCATTCACATAATGTTCATCATAGACTTGATTAATAGGTCTGGTGTCTGGTTTTTGAATATTTAAAAATTCCAAGTGTATATCCATAATTTTTTTCGTTTTCAGCAGCATTATCTACTAGAGATTCAGCTAACCTGAAGTTTTCTAAATTTAGGAAAATTGATTACGAATTTACGAATGATTTTTCAAAGTTTTTTGAATGGACAAGAAGATAATAATGGAGTTTTATATTCAATCATTTTTCGCTGATTGTCAAAAAATATATAAATAATCGGAACTGATTGCAGGTTATAAAAATTTTGGGGAATAATTTGAATTTGTCACATTAAAATTGAAATAATTAAATCAGCGAAAATGAGCACATCATCAATTCACTGCTTATTTATGATGAATTTATAAAATTATTCTATGTTATTCTTTTTTAGTATTTTTTATGTTACATAATTTGTTCATATTTTTGTGATGCGTTTATAAGAGCCAGTAAAGATTGACTCCTTTTATTATGGTAATAAAAATTATTTATTTCGACAATAATTCAATATCCAAAGATGTATCTCAAATATGAATATCTAAAACTTTTCATAGCACGAAACTTTTCAAATATTTAATAAATATTTCGCATTGTTTTCCGCCCACAAATATTTCATTGCTAAATTTTTATCGAAAAGCACAAAGGAAAAAAGGGAAGAAGTATAATTCAAATTTTGCTAATTAAACTGAATAATTCGATCCTTTCCAACATTTTCTAGTTCAATGTATAAAATATCGGCGCGTTTTGTGCACAGATTAAGCAGAAGAGAATTATTAACAAAAATTCTACGTGTTGATCATATTGGTGAATTAGCTGCTTTACGTATTTATGATGGACAAAAAGCTATCATATCAAGTAGTTTTTTTAGTTATATAATTTTCTTTTTCGTTTTTCTAGACGAATAATAATTTGTTTTTACATTTCGCAAATAAATCAACGTAATAATAAGCCAGTCAGTCATTATTCTATTATCATTCGTTGCATTAATAATTGCGTACGGATTATTGAAGATGTCATATATCTGAAGAAAATAAAGAAATCAATATTTTATAGTAATAATAATTCATTGTTTACTATTGATTTTGTTCTGCCGGATATGTCAATGATTAAGGAATAATTACCAAATATTCGCTTTCCTATTCATTCTAAAAAATTAGATAAAATTAATCTTAAATTTTTGTTTTTTTTTTTCAGGATGGCAGTTAAGTGAATTAGAATTTATTTTTCGGATCTTTTTTTGTTTTTCAAAATCTATTTATTTAAAGTAATAAAATAGACGGTTTTTTTTCTTTTATAGGTCAACATCCGTCCAGACCTGTAATTGAAGAAATGCAAGCACAAGAAAAGGAACATCTCGATGTAATGGAGAGACTATGCGCTAAGCATAACATACAACCAACAATTTTGGCTCCATTTTTGAGCATTGCTGCTTATGCATTGGGTTCATTTCTCATCTTTTAACTTAAATTATTTAAGAAGTTAATGCAATGAAAAGCAAATAAAAAATTATTACAATTCTGAAGGCACTGATTTGTGCTCAAAATAATCAATCAAATTGGTATACATCACTTTAATAAAATTCCAATCTGGAGGTGCTATTGGTTCTTTTTTTTGTTACTTTTATTTCAAATTTAACAATTTTGTAAGTAGTACTAAAATTATGTATGAAATGACATTTTTCTTTTTTTGCTTGAAAAATATTGAACATCTTTTGATGTGCACCTTTCAATAACCTATTAAAATATTAAAGTTAAAAATGCCCCAAAATTTTGCTTTTTAAATTTTCCAAAAGTGGTTCTTTTTTTTCAAATTCTTTGTTTCAATTTTTTTTTGAAATATAAAAAAGTTTTATCCTTTTCGTTCTGTTTCTGAAACTGAGATGCATAATAGACTAGAGATGCTAAATGCAAACTGTTGTGAATGATGAAATTTAATTAGAAAATTCTTGAACAAAGAGGATGTTATATAATAGATTGCTTTTTTGTTCCATCAGTTCATGCTAGGCTAATATTAGTTGCAAAGTAAGCTCGTAGCCATATAAGTCTATCAAACATAGACTAAAGCTAAATATCTAGTCTGGTCTTGGCTTTGATTATCGTTTGCTTAGTTTCTCTGACTTGGGAATATTTACGAAATTGCTTCCCTGCACAACATTTGCTCACACATTTCTAACTTTCATTCGTTCTCTTCCTTTCATTGCCTTCAATTAAGAAATAGAAACAAAAGAAGGATAAGAAAAAAAGATGAAAAAAAGGAATCAATTCGGACAATTTTTTAAACCAACTTGTCATTTATTATTATTGCTGTTATTAATATTATTATTGTCACCATATTATTAGCAATGCAATAATAAAATTTATTAA